TGGCCACGCTTCTTTTGATCCAGCCCAGGACACAATTGGCTTTCTTGCTGCAAGCGCACATTGCCGGCTCAAGTACAGCTTCTCATCCACCAGCACCCCCAAGTCCTTCTCGGCAGGGCGGCTCTCAGTCTGTCCATCCCCCAGCCTGTACTGATACTGGAGTTGCCCTGACCCAGGTGCAGCACCTTGCTGCAGTTTAATGTGTGATCTTGTTAAACTGCATGAGATTCCCATGGGTCCACTTCTCTAGCTTGTCCAAGTACCTCTGGATGGCATCCCATCCTTCAGGTGTGTCAATCACACTCAGTTTGGTAACATCTGCAAATTTGCTGAGGGTACACTCCATCCCTTCATCTATGTCTTTAACGAAGATATTAAATAGCACTGGTCCCCATATAGACTCCTGAGGGATAGCACTTTTCACTGATATCCATTGTGAGTCAACCATTTTGATTGGTGTGTTCTATTAGAATTGCCTTTGAGCAGTAACAGTTCCCCTTAATACCCATTTACACCCTCAGCAAAGCAAGAAAAACTAATTGAGAATTACCATTTTGTATAATTTGTACTCATGTGCGAATACACATCACAATCAGTGTAAGTTTTAAATATATAAAATATTGATCTAAAAAGGGAAAATTGCTAAGACTGAAATATTGCTTTACATCCAAAAGCTCAAGCTGAATGTGCTATTGCAATACTGTCATGCAGCAACTGAACTTAGCCAACACCTACTATGAAGATCTGACCAGATAGGGTGTTTAGTTAAATACTGGACATTATATAGAAAAAAAAAGCCTTTATCGAGAAAATCTTAAAAAGTAAAGATAAGGAACTGAAAGCAAATATACAAGTTCTCAGTACTTAATCAGGTTATCTAAGACATTTTTAAGATTATAGCTTTATCTTTTGACATTTTCAGCATATCTTATAATGTTGGACAGTTGATCCATAACTAGATTGACTGGATACCCTATTTTTTCAAATATTGGGAAAAATTATATTTATTTTCTAGATATTCATGGTTAATTTCCTAGCTGAGGTTAGCTTATTATATGCTCTTTTCACATGGAAAAAATCTTGAATAGTGATAAAAATGTTTTTGAAATCGCTGATTACATGAAGAAAGCTCAATAAAATAAGAGCTGATTACACATGCAACATGTTGAAATGGAGTTTTATTCATTTAAAAAGGAACGAATAAATATTTGAATATGACAAATGATAGAATTAGTCAGAATGCTAGTGATACATGTGGAATGTGCCACCTTGGTTTATGTGTGAAGAAAATATTCTTCTTCTACTTGGAAAGCAACTTTGCAGAAAAAGGTGGTGGTAACCAAGTTGAGGTTACCACAGCAATATGCCCTTGTACCAAAGGTCAACAGCATACTTGGGGACATTTAGAGGAGCACTGCCAGCAGGTGGAGAGAGGTGACCTTTCTTCTCTATCAAAATTGGTGAGACACGTCCGGAGTTCTTGGGTCAGGGATGGGCTTCCCAGAGAGACAGGGACATACTTGAGTGAGCACAAAGAAGAACCACGAAGATGTTTAAAGGAGTGAAGTATCTATGTGTGAGAGTAGGGTGAGAGCTGACACTGTTCAGCCTGGAAAAGAGTAGGCTCAGTGAAGATATTATCAGTGCATATAACATACATGGTGGACTGAAGTCAGACCCTTCTCAGAGGTAGCCAATGACCAGATGTAATGAACATGAACAAAAACACAGAAAATTCCACCTGAGCATAAGAAAAATCTTTTTTACTGTGTGAGACTCTGAAACAGGTTGTCCAGAGAGTTCGTGGTGTGTCCATCCTACTCAAAACACAACCAGCCACAGCCCTGAAAAACCTTCTTTGGACAGTCCTGCTTTGAAAAGGTGGTTGGACTACACATCTTCAGAGATCTTTTCCATTCTCAGCAATTCTCTGATTCTCTGAAGGGTTTCCTAGGCTTTTTTAGTTCTGTAATTTTATCGCTGGAAGAACTTCAGCCCTTAAGTCAATTAACACGATGCTTTGTGATAAAAGTAGGTACCCCATATGATTTCTTTACAGACTTATTATTGTTCTGTCTGAGTTGACACTATAACTATCATGTGTTTATCATGTATTGTTCTATGGATGTCTGTAATATTTAAAAATGTTTTACTGGGTTTTTATAAGTGCTTCACTACATGACATTATTCCAGACAGATTTCATTAAAGATGTATAGTTCATTCGACTCCTTAGCTATTCTGACTAACCAATTTTGCCCTTTTTGTCATTGCAATAAAAAGGATTTCAAAAACTGTTACTTCCAGAAACCCCTATAGAGAGCCTGTTTCTGCATTTTATTGATAAAATGTCTTTACATAAATTTCTCATTACATATATGGTCAAATAATTAAATTGTGAAGTGTGTTTTTTTGGTTAAGCTCCTCTTTTAATGAATAAAAGCTTAGAATTTGAGACTGCAAAGGATTCTTGTGAGATCTGAGGTAATGATAGATCATAGCAACCTGAAGACTCAGAGGCACATGGTTAAACTACACAGTAATGTCAGAATAAGCCATTTTTCTTTATGCATGTCTACACTTTCATGTTATCATGATTGTTCAGTTTAATAGGTGTACTACAAAAAAGTCTTCAAAGTGGGAGCATCCTTAATTATGTGCAATACATTTCTAGAATTGTCTTTTTCACTGTGTACAATGAAATATCTCTTAGTGAACTCCTTACTTCTGTATCTCATTCTAAAGTTTTCATATAGATGTAGAAATACATTAACTATTTGTCCAGTTCCTCATAAGACCTTTGAGTAAAAATGCAGTTTATGCTGTTCTGCAACTCTTAATGTTCTCATTTATTTGCATTGTTATGCTTATTTAAAGAACATAACATCATATATTTTTCACTTCACACTCTTGTGTCACAACTAAAATGACCTCCAGTTCCTTGGGAATTTATTGACCACTTCTAATATTTTATTTTCTTGCTGTCATGTCAGGAATGACAGGTGAGTGTGAATCAGGTGAATCAGGAAGACAGAGTGAGATCAAGAATACAAAGAGATGTATAAGATGCTCTATGACAGATTCCACTTAATTGCGAGAGATGAAATTAACAATTGAAAAAAAATAAAGAGGGCGCTAAAATAAAAGAAACTGTTGGTCCTTGCAATAACAACTTTTAATACATAATGTATTCCAGCAAGAGAAAAGTGCAACAGGGGCATCCCTGATGTAATTACAAAGGAATTGACCAGGTAACCTCTGATGGAAAGATTTTCCCTGACCACTTTCCAGGATGAGCCTCTAAGGACTGAATAGTTTTTATTTTACCTAATACAATACTACTTCACAAGGGTGACACATAATCTACTTCTGTTTCCTAGTTCTGAAAGGAGTATATAGCAAATTAATATCCTGATTGTCTTGCTATTTGTGACTCTGCAAGGTAAAAGTCAAAGCTGAATTGTTGCTGGAAATCTGAAGTCTGAAAGACAATAAAATCTACCATCTAACAAGAGGACAGTGAACAATATTATTATTACATGATTTTGAAAAAGAAACATATAATTAAAATAATTAAACATACACATGGTCTGAAAATAAATCGTAGCAATTTACAAAAAAACCCCAAACAAACAAAGTAAACCTTGTGATCTAGATCCTAGACTTTTGAAAGTTGAAAAATTAAAGAAAAATTATAGCTTTTGAGTTTGCTTCTTTTATTTCCATATTTTTGTGTCCCTTTTGAGATCTACATATAAATCATGATTTCAGTACACATTTTCTTTTGTTATGGCTATATATAGTATCTATTTCTTTCTTATCTGTTTTAAAGTATATGCTGTTAATATGAGGTTACTGAGTTATCTAATACCTGAATTCCGTATTTTTTTAATGACAGAACACAATGAACTCTGAAAGCATTTGTTATATCTCTTTGTAAAAATTCCAAACATGGAAAAGTGATTTAACTGCAAACGAATAATGACTTGGAACAAGAAGCAGGAATACAGGAAATAGTTGAAGGATTATGATGATTTTTGTGACTTTTAGCTTATTACAGCTGTTTTGAAATTACAGGAGACATCCAGAACTTTTAATGAGTTTCTATATTAAGGGTAACACTTTGACTTAATGTTGGAATGAAAAGGCAAATGACTGCAAATAATGGTGAATATGTCATAAGTCATTGTTCTCCTAACAAGCGAGTAGCATATGATCACTATGAATTTTTCAAGAGGTCTTCAAATGCCTTATGCATTGGAATAATTCAAACACATGGACAATACCAAGACAAGAGCTGAATCTATAACTAGCTATTTCAGTTTATATATGGCTTTCCGAGTCAGTGGACATAGTACTTCTCACATTTGAAGTGAAATACATGTATTTTCTTTGACAGATTGCTATTTAGACATTGCATGAAAAGTTTATGTTTAGACAGGAGTATACAAATATAATATGAACAAAATGCTTTCAGAAATTCATTGCCAAGAGTTATTGACCCCAGCTGAAACTGGGTTTCTATTTGCTGTGACTGATGAACCCATGGGTGATTTCCAACTCTTCAGAAATTTTACATGGACATAGCTAAGAAATATCTCCTTTGTAAGTTGCTGTGGGACAGCACATGCAGGATTGATTTTTCTCAGTTATTGCTACATGACAGTGACATCTGTTCATGTAAGAATGAAAGCACAAGTCATATTCAGTAGAAGTTAGTCCTTATGGACTGTTTTAAGGTTGTTTGCTGTGATTGACACCCATGTAATAAACAGGATTTTAACATTAAGAAAGCATTTGGATCCGACTTGAAAAATCCACCTAAGACATTAAACGTAGTTCAGGTCATCAATGAAAGTCCTTAGCAAAAAATAAGATAAATCTGAATAGTTTGGAACCTACTGATTATGAAATTCAGGTAAGAACAATGAACATTTCTGTAATCAGATGTAAGATTTCATGGAAAATAAATAATCTTAAATTACAACTAATCTCCAAAAAAAAAGCCAAAAGGAACTATTTTCCTCAATGTGGACTCAGTCCAATAACAAATCAATGACATTTACTCCTCACAGTTGCAAAAATAAAATTTCTGCTATAATGAAAATGTTATATCATTTTTTTTAGTCTTATGATAAAGATTGGTGAATTCTTAAGGTACAGTACTGTTCCATACTTCTTTCTGGAAACTACTTTCATCATCTTGGGCTCAGATCTTCCATATTCTTCAAAACATTCTGATAAATAAATGGAAAAAAGTATATATTATTCTTTTTGTTTTTTTTTTTTTCCTCTGGGAAATGCATAGATTACAGAATCAGACAATATGCTGAGGTGGAAAGGACCCACAAGGATCATTGAGTCCAAATCCTGGCCCTACACCAGGACCATCCCCAAGAGTCACACCATGTGTCTGAGAGTGTTGTCCAAACACTTCTTGAACTCAAAATAGGATGGTGCTGTGATCAGTTCCCTGGGGAGCCTGTTCCAGTGCCCAACCACCCTCTGGGTGAAGAACTGTTTTCTAATATCTTATCTAAACCTCTCCTGACACAACTTCAGGCCATTCCCTCAGGTTCTATCACCGTTTAGCACAGAGAAGACATCAGTTCCTGCTCCTCCTCTTCACCTCCTCACGAAGTTGTAGACTGCAATGAGGTCTCAATTCTCCTCTTCTCCAGGCTGAACAAACCAAGTGACCTCAGCCACTCTTGGTATGACTTTCTGTCAGGGCCCTTCACCATCTTGTTGCCCTCCTTTGGACATTCTCTAACAGCTTAATATCTTTCTTATATTGTGGTGCCCCAAACTGCACCCAATATTCAAGGTGAGGCTGCACCAGGGCAGAGCAGAGCGGGACAAGCAGCCCCCTCGACTGGCTGACGATGATTTGCCTGATACTTCCCAGGACATGGTTGACCCTCCTGGTTGCCAGGGCACTGCTGACTCATAGTCAGCTTGCTGTTGACTAAGAACCTCAGGTCCCTTTCCCTGGCACTGCTTTCTGGTATCTCATTCCCCAGTCTGTACAAACATCCAGGATTGCCCCTTCCAACGTGCAAACTCTGACACTTTCCCATGTTGAACTTCATCTGGTTGGTGATTGCCCAGTCCTTTAAGTTGTTGAGGTCTCTCTGCAGGGCCTCCCTGCCTTTGAGGGAGTCAACAGCTCCTCCCAGTTTTGTGTCCTCTGCAAACTTGCTTAGTATCCCTTCCAGTCCTGCATCCAAGTAATTTATGAAGATGTTGAAGAGCACAGTGCCTCAGATGGAGCCCTGTGGAACCCCACTAGTGACAGGTCACCACCCTGATGTCACCCCATTTGCTATTACCCTCTGTGCTCAACCCCTGAGCCAATTACTCACCTACCACAGGATGTATTTATCCAGCTGTGTGCTGAACATTTTGTCCAGGAGGATCCTGCGAGAGACAGTATACAAAACTTTACTAAAATCCGATAAGATGATACCAACTGGTTCCCCTTGATCAGATAGGTGGGTTACCTGGTCATAAAAGGAATTCAGGTTTGATAAGACGGACTTTCCTCTCATGAAGTTGTGTTGGCTGTGGTCAATGACTGCACTGTCTTTCAGGTGTTTTTTTCTACCTCCCTTTTGGTCCTTAAATTTAAAAAACTTACCAAAGTTTTTTAAAACTTACAGAATACTGTGCAACAGGCACTAGAAATATTTTTTATACACCTGTGTTCAAACTTAGCTAATGATAAGCACTCTGAATTATGAAATTGCATAAGAATACCTAATGATATCAAGTTTGGTGGAATTATTTTTTTGGATCTATAATATTTTTTTAGACTCTATTTACCTAAATTAATTGGTAAGTACAATGTATCTACGAATAAAATAGAAGAATGTAGCGTGTTAAACCAGATATTCAGTACATAAGATTTGTCTGATTCTGATGCAGCTTTTTATGCCAATATCCACTTAAGTTTAAATTGACAGGTTTTCTCATTAATATATTATAGCAGTTTTTGTGAAAAAACAAAACAAAACCCACAAAAAATCCTCTAAGAATCATGCACTAAAATGTATTTCAATAAAACTCTGTAAATATTTAAGGATATTTTGAGGTACTTATCAAAAATGTAATGATCCAGCACATTTTGATAAGATGAAAAAATCTTTTAAGTGGTTACTTGATTCCTGATTGAAGTAATGGCAGGTATTTAATGAATGAGCAATAGATCAGATAGATTTACAACCTTGGAGAGATAAATGATAACAATATCTGAAGATTAAATACAAATATATGAAAAAGTACAACCCTTGGCTTTCTTGAGCCAAGAGTGTTAAAATTTAATTTCAAATCAAATAAAATGCTGAGTGTAAACTGTATTTTAAAATCTATGTTCTGTAGTACATAACTGATAGTATTTTTAATTTAGTATATCACTGTGATTTTAATACGTATCTATAGATTTAGGGTTCTCAATCATAGAATCCTTTAGGTGGGAAAAGATCTTTAAGATCATCAAGTCCATGAATTAATTTATCTGTTTTGAGACCAAAATAATCTCACATGAACTGGTGTACAATAGTATATTAGCAAGGATAAGCTTGTGGAAATTGAAAAATAAAAGCAGATACACCATGAGATTATTTGATAACTAATAGCTTAAATTAAGCATCTGTAAACACTTAAATTGTCTTCCCATTTTCTTTTCTGTTTTTGTGTATTCTGGAAAGCTCAAGCCTGCAACAGAAATATGCTTCTTGCATACACTTTCTACTTAAGTAAAATTACAGCCTATCTATATTTTCAAATATTCTTAGTGACTTAGAAAGAATAGTCAATTTTACAAATGTATATCTGGAACTTCAGCTTAAATGAGAACCTTTATTTACACCATATGTAAGGTCTGTTTCAAAAAATGCTATAAAAAGTTACATTTTAAATAGATGACTTTTCTGTCAGGGAATTTTAATAGGAACTTATGGATACAACAACAAAATCTTAGTGAGTACTAGTACTACATCATATCTCTATGATCCCATATTCCTCATATTATGTTAGTTTTACGTGAACTTCTCTGAAATTTTTCATCTTCTGGGGGAAAAAAAGAGGTTTAATTTTTGGCAAACCAGAAACCACTGGGACAATCAAGATTGAGTTCTGGGTCTGTTTCTGCTTTTTTCTCAGTTAAAGCATTTTTTTCAGAGTCAGAATTGGACAACATTAAACCTGAACTGTTTGCAGAAGGGGAGACATGTAATGAATATAATGTGTGGCCTCAGAAGAAGGAAGTGGAAAATAGATATATACAGAATACCACAGAAGGGTCTTCTTCCTAACTTCAGTGAGGACTTCAACTGAGAACAATTTTCTTACACTGGAACTAAAGCACAAAAACAGAGCAAGGAAGTGGGTAGGTTCTCACTTGTTCTGTAGCACCAGGCTGTTGAGGTCAGGTCTGTAAAGCCCTGCGACCAGTCCTCAGGAAACTGGGACTTGATCTAGGAACTACTATGGGGGGGTAGTAAGAAGCTAGAGACCCATCTATTTCAGTGTTGGCTTGGATGGATAGGCTGTTTTTGTTTGGTAGATGGAGGGCAAAAAGTGTATCTTCCCATTGTTATGCTCAGATTCATGTATATCAAGTTTGATGTTTAGCAGTAGCCAGGAGCTGCACCTCACAATCATGGCTTTTATGGCTCAGCTTTCCTGAGATCCTTCCCTGGCACCTTTTCTGATGCTGGTTCACAAGCTCTCACCCAGCTTCTCATAGACCCTACATGGCAACTCACTCTTTTCGAGCTGCTCTTTCACATAAAGGGAACTTTCCTACTAGTCTTTCCTGCCCATATTCCCTCAAAAGCCCTGAAGTTGTCAAGAAGTTGGATGATTGTTTATTTTGTCTGTTTCTCAGGCTATGTGCATTTATGTCCATATACTTCAGTGGGAACTCCTTTCAACCCCTTCCATATTTTTAGTGTTTCCACAGTTCATTCACAACTTGTATGGGTAAAGAAATTAATTACTTCACAGAGTACACTATCATCTCCACTGATAATATTTTGAAGACTTATTCTTCCTGGTCTCAGGTTACAAGTATATCAATAGAATAAAAGAAGATATTGTGCCAAACCAAAAATTTTTTGCAGTATTTAATATTCATATAACACTCTGCATATATAATATCTAAATATGCACTGAAGTTGGAAAGTGCTATCCATTTATTGTGCTGGACACTGAAGGGCAATATTTTGTTAAAAATATTCATCTAATGAAATAAGCAAAAAACCAAAATTTGGATCTTATTGTCCTCTGAAGTATACCTGTTTCATGCACTGTATTGTCATCTTTATAAAAGATTAATATAAAATAATAGGCTTTTTTTTCCTGATGCCAGGTGGATGGAAAAAGAAAATAATCTAACTTATTCTCCTAAAATTTTTACTCCAAAAGATGTGTTTCTTTTTCTTTTATCCTTACAGGCAATACAAAAAAAAGTGGAAAGATGTGAAAAGATTGTAAGTTGTATTACCTGAGTGTAATTTTCTCCAGCTATGCTCCCTCAAAGATATTAGTAATTTATCTACTCATTTACCTTTAGTTAGAAAGTATTACACAGTTTTATCTGAAAACACGTGAAAAAGATCCATTACAGGACTATGAATTCTACATGGTCAAATGATTTATTGCTTGATCATCCAGCAGGAGCTACTAATAGCTATAATGAGAAAGACTTTGAAATAAGTATGACATTAAATTGTTTCACCATATGCTTATAATCATAATTTTCTTGCTAAGGGTCAGAATATGGCTACCCTTAAAAGAACGAGACAAGTAGCATAGGCTTCTCTGTTAACTGATGTTCTTTACATAAGTTGAGAGCAACAGGTACAAAACATGTTGAAAATCATATTATAGCTGGCCAAGGCATTTTAGTGCTTGAATTTCCTGGGTGACAGAGTATTTTTTAAAGGAAAAACAAAAAGAAAATAGACATATTAAAGAAGATTAAGACTAAAAATAATATATTTACTAGCTCCTGGTATTCCCTTTAAAAATCTAAAGTAGCAATTCATGTGATTTCCAGATGTTAGATCTTAGAATTTCACTGGCTTTGTATTTTCTTAGAGAACCTGCTAGCTAAGAACAAAGTAGTTAGCACCCTCATGAAAGAAATTCAGAGTTAAAATAAAAAGGTTGTGAAATAAGCAAAATTTAAAGAAGACAATCAGATAGCAAATAGGTGATTATCCTAAAATGCTTCTCCTTTTAACCAACTTGGAGTTCTTAAATTTCTCTAAGAGTAAACATAGCACTGAAAATGTTACTTTACTCAGGTTTATTACTCAAATGATCTTTTGTCATTATCTCTGGTGCTTCCGGTCTCTCAGTACTTTCTAGAGATTTATGAATGTTAAATTCAAAGAAATGAGAGATGCACAATGCTGTGATACACATTTCTTCAACAGGTACATTTGTTGGCAATTTAGCCTTTGAACAGTTAAAATGCTTGTGTCAGATGTCACTGTTCTGTATTATGGCACTATATTAGCAGCACTATAGATTGGGAAGACAGGTAGACCGCTGATGCAACTATCCATTATATTTCCTGGACTGACACACAATCAATATTCAAAATATCTTCAGTTTTTCATATTTGTAGCTGTGATCTCTGGGTATAGTGAACTCTGGGCACTGGAGTTTCTGAACTGAATTCTGGAATTTGATATATATCAGGAAACGAGTGAGCAAGTTGTTGTCCAGATTTTCATCACTTATCATCTGACATATACAGAGTGGGAGCGGATCATCCAGAGTATAATGAAATGACAGTCCAAAGCTTTGTGTTTCTTTGTAACCTGGCCATTCAATTACTTGCCACTGTCTTTGTTTCATGAGTAAAATAGAAATTATGTCATACTGACTACATTAAGTCACAGTTAAAAACGTTCCAAATGTATATGTTTGTAAACCTGTTTGTAGCAGCACAAGACTGCATCTTGTTCAAACATGAAGAGTGTCAGACAACATCCAGTAGTACAGCCCAGAAAGAGAGAAATACATTGCGAATTCAGCAGCTTAGTTCAGTTCTCCATAAACCCAGTTTATTAGTTTCTGATTTAGAAAAAGTTACTTGATAGATATTTGTTTCAGAATGAGACTACTTTTAATTTCCATATCATTGAGAACAATTAGATGAAAAAAATTCTAAAAATTGTTTAGATATTTTTTGCATTTTCCTGTCATAAATGTTTTAGCAATAATACTACTAATATTGCTAGTTTGTAATGCTAGTAATATTGCTAAGCCACTAAAAAGTTCATCCTTTATACACTATAATAATTTCTTATTTTTCATATTAACCTTTTCTCTTTAAATATTTTGAATAAATGGTGACTATTAAAAGTGAAATGCAAAATGGAGTCATTTTATGTGGAGCTTCA